CTAACAGAAAACATATATTCTCACAACCCTATACAACAATTATTATGCTGTTGCTCCAATCATACCTTATTGTTTAATCTTTTGATGTCTGTGCATAGGTTGCAAAATTTACCATCATTTCTACATGTAGAAATACATGGAGATTGCATATCTGAGGGCTTAGTTTGACGAAAGACGACTAATCAGAACCACTACAGTTTTGAGCATCCCATTCCTACAAGGTTCAACTGTTTAGCTTTAATTTAGTTTTATTTACAGTGGGTTTTGAGTCCCTTTATGTAGCTAAACAGCACTCTTCAGGACTAAAAGAAATCATGCCTATATGCTCAGCAATTACAAGCAAGACTAACTGGCTGGAAGAAGCAGTTTAATGTCACTTTTCTAAGCAAGTTTAAAAAAAAAAAATTAAACTTTCTCCCCTTTTTTTTTCCTCCGGGGTTTTTTTTGGTTTTGTTTGTTTGTTGGTTTTGTTTTTTTTTTTTTTTTTATGAGACTGCAGTTTGGATAACAATCTTAAAATATTACCACCTCTTCAACACACTGTGTAAAATTAAGTTGGGGGGAGGGGGGATATCAACCATGTATATATCATATGAACTTAGTGTTTCAAATTTAGTTGTCTCTCACAGCTAATTTATTTCCCTTCTATATAATCCAAAGAGTAAATAATGTCTCTGTAGAGCAATAAATGCTTAACTTAATTTTTAGACAGTATATACTATACAATACTAAAATAATCTTTGGTCCCCAAAATAAGGAAATTACAAATTTACATTTGTTTTCGTTTTACAAAGTGTATCACATAGTATTTTTTAAATTAATATTCTCTTTGAATTCTACCCTGAAAGCTGTGCTAAGCTCAAGTCATGATGCAAGTAATAAATAATGGCATACTGTTCTTAGCTCAAGAAAACTTATTTCACATGTAAATGCACTCAAGGTCATTCAGGTATACTATACTACACAATGAAGTATTATGCTGTATTAGAACTGTAACTGCACCACTCTCCATTTGTCATTCCAGCTAAAAGGTAACAAAAGCTTTTCATGATCTCACTCCAGAAAAAGCTCAGTGATGTTATCCTTTTTCTAGGTAAGGAAATGTAAGGATTTGAAAGATAACAAATTCATAAACTTATAGATGCACAAGACCTCCCACACCTCTGAAAAAAACATAATCAGCACAGGGAGTACAGGAGAGGAACAGGGTGTTCTCTTATGTATGAACCATTTCAGTCCTTGCCATTAACCAGCAAACCTGATACATTCCTAATGAAAAACCTTTGCTATGCATCAACTAACTTCTGTTCCTTGATTTCAGATGAGGGTTCCACTCTAAAAGCATGGATCTTCTGGAGGAAAATATTCTGTATTTGAGTAGCGGGGGTTGGTTTTGGTTTTTTTAGTGTGTGGGGTTTTGGGGGTGGGGGGTTGGCATTTTTTTGTTTTGGTTTTGTTGGCTTGTTTTGTTGGGGGTTTGCAACCTTTATACAAATTGCTTTAATGCCAGTTTACAATTCCAGTCTAGGTATGCTAGTGCTACTTTTAAAAAGGTTCTTTTAATAATTGACAGTATCTACAAACTCTCCTTGCAAACTTTGCCAATACTAGGCAGAGTGCTGAAAAACAGCAGGGCTGTAACAACTGTACTGGCAATAATAAGCTTCATTATTTCATACCATACTGAACACGGAACTGTCATTTACTTTTCACGAAACACACAGTAATCCTGGTGAGACACCACCTCAATAAAACGTCAATGTTTTAAACCCAACACTAGAGGTTGGTTTATACGCTTCGATCTTTTTTAAACCGGTGTTCCCTTTGCCATTAACTTTCAATGAAGCACAATAAAATGTTACTACAGTAACTGGGAAACCATTCCTCATTAAGAAAATGCAAGTTTTCTTTAACCTCATTAGTAACTCTTTCTGAATTTTAATCTCCATCTTAACCACTAAGGTGAAATGCACAGTAGACATAGTAAATTGAAAATGAAAAATTAGTATTGTCACTGGTTTTTCACACATCAAAATAATTCTCTGTTGCTTGATACAAATATTGCAGTGTTAGGTTCACACCTGTCACTATCCCAGTTCCCTCCAGTATTAAAAAAGCCCAGACATTTCTATTGATCTTCTGCTTGGTATAACCTGTTTATCATGTTTAAAAGTGACCCATCTGCAATGTACTCCTGTTTGTTTTTAAGACTCCAGTTAACTGCATTCATCCACTTAAGAGTACAGCTACGTAAGAACACAATGTAAAAAGTGTTCAAGTCAAAAAGCGAGAGAAATTCAGGTATACATGGAATACAGTTCCTCTAAATTCAAAGATTTCATCAGCTTACATCAGAAAGGAATTCAGCTCGAGAGATCTTCCCCTACACACACTTTCTTCATATGACATGCAGGCATGCATATGCCAAATAATGAATTACATAGATAAATACACCAATAAAAAAAAACCACAACAAAAAAACAGAAAAATATCAAGGGACATCTTCCTAATAACATTATCATATTGTCTAACCGATTACTGCAAAATTTGAGTTTTGAGTAGAGAAAATATCCTTCTCTTCACTGGAAGTACAATTAAAATAAGAAAATACCAGTTACGTAAAACTATTTCTGAACAAATCAATACAACCATATTATTCTCCAATTACCTAAACTCATTTTCCAAAGAAATATGAGGGGAAAAAATTTGCAGAAACACCTAATTAAAAAAAAGTTTTAAAAATCAGTTTTACCTACTACCAACAGTTTTCATTTTAGAAGAAACAACCAACCCTCCAAAACCAGAAATATTTATCTTACATGAATCACAATATTGCAACCTTAGAAACACTTTATAAGCACATCATTGTTTTGCTAGTTCTTGCTTACCCTAGGCTTCTCAGAAAGGTTGAACCTTAAAAACAAAAAACAAAACAAAACAAAAAAAGCAAGTCAGCCATGACTGGAATGCAAGTCTATTGGATGACGACCCCTTCGTTCTCTACTGTGCCCCTCAACCCCCTTTTCTCCACCCTGTCTCCCAAGCATATTTATCTTCCCACTTCAGAGTGAAAAACAGAATGTATCCCAACATTAGCAGATAACCACATACTTGCACTTGATGCATTATGGTGACCATTCAGTAAACGTGCTAACTGCACAAGTTCAGATCTGGCCAAGGTCATGCACGAACTGAATATGGCAATTTCACAAGTAACCCATAGGGTAACTACCTCAGCACTATATCCATCAAACAAAAAAAGTGAAACGCTTGTCCATTTCAGCTGTGTAAGTCCACCAACAGTGAAAATGCAGGAGATCTTACAGATGAGAATTGAGCTGCACTGCCAAGGCTGCATAAGGATGGATACAGAAGAGTTTGTCGGACACAATACATGGCTAAAGTTATTGCTATTTGCCCTTCACTTCCTTTTCTCGTGTTATTAAATTTACTTAGAAATTTCTTTCCTATATTAACCAACCAATGTAGCGCTAGTCTTGGTGTTTACAATAGACAAAGAAACAGTGGCAGAACATGTATATTCAGAGCTTGCACTTGGGAGAGGGAAGGAAAGTACTGTGCAGTTAATCCAAAACAATAACATACTTCAAAACATATATATATTATATATTATATAAGCTATATAATATATGTGTATATATATGTGGACATCTTAAACCAATCTTCCTTTTGAATGGCCAACATTTACTGCCTTCATGACAACAGCTGCTGACTCAATGCATCTCTGCACATATGCAGGGCTGGGCATTCTTTGCCACCATCTGATCTTCCTTTTCTTCCTTAAATAAAACAAAAACCCTTTATTCCATGAGAGAGTTAAGCACTTCTTCTCCCTTTGCAGTCCCATTTGAATGTCATTTTCATGCATCCAGACGCTGAATCTCAGGGCGATGATCTACTTCTCTGGATTCTGTCCGGGCACGTATGTAATCACTGGTCTGCCGACTACTTTGTTGTCTGCTGTTCATTCGCCATTTTTTAATAGCTAAATATGTGTTCACAGCATACACTGCCATTGCCAAGAAACCAAATATCTACAAGAAGTAGAAAGAATTGTCAAAGACAATTTTTGAAAACAAGACAATAGTAGTTTCACAACAAATTCCTCAGAAGCTTAGTTTTCTACTTTATTTGCACTGACAAATCATCATGACCTGTAAAATTGATGTTGTTCTTCTTCAATGAACTACAGAATCTGCAAAAGCGACTAAGATTAATGATCCCAGAAAACAAAGTTCTCTGTCTACAAACATGACAATTAAATCCTGCAATGCAACTTCAATGGAAGAAACTCTTGTAAAGAAAAAAACGGCTCTTCATCCAACAGTTCATTCCTCAGGGTGCACATAATAGTGAATGAATGACAAGATAACAGATGACCAGTCCAGACCATCAGCCTGGTGAAGGAGCTAATTTGCAGTTCTTCCTATATGCTTCTGCAGAACTGTTGTGTGACTTTCAATGTCCAGGTTTGAAAGGAGGAAAAAAAAAAAGGGGGGGGGGGGCCAACTCAAGCACAAAATTAAGTTTCTTGACCTTACTGTTCTAGATTCAAAATCTTGAAGTACTACTATACTCACTCCACAGAACAAAAATGATCTGTAGAGAACAAAAAGAATTCAGCAAATTATGTGTAAGCAGCTCCAATTTCTTGTGAATTTTTGGCTCTATCTTTTCCATAGGCTTGCAATATAGAGCAGTATCATCTAAGCTACCAATAGAGGAAGAAGCAAGGCAAGTTCAACTGTTGAAGTGTTCTCTGCAAGTCATTTTTCTGCTTGTTCTTGCTTCCAGCTTTACAACAAACAACTCAAAGGTTGTCAATACTTTTAAAATCAGAATTACCTTATAGCCAACTGTAAAATTAGAAGTAAATTGTGATGGCAAAGGCAACAGGAGAATTCATGAACACGAGGGGAAATTTATTCTTAGTTTTAATGGCAGATAAGAGTCATATATAAAGAAGTTCAAATTCTTACCACAGCAGCAATTTCTGCTCCAGTTTTATGGTTTAAAGCAGCAAGTACTACAGAGGCAATGAAAAAGAAGAAAGTGCTGAGTCCAGTGTTGACCAGATCCTAAAAAAATAAATTCATTAGCATTACTAAACAATGATTCTTTGTTTGCTTTTATTAAGTGATGAAACAGAAGAAGGTTAGAACAAGAACTATCGCAATACTTTCCCATTTTCTATGCAGTTTACCACTTATACAAAAGAAGGCAAAGATTATTACACAGGAAACGTAGCATGTGTGCGCATTAGTCTGTGAATTGAAGTCAAACAGCATGTACACATGAAGCACCAGTGCAGATTCTGGATGCATTACCTCGATTTCTACTGGGTTTATGAGAAAAGTACTGTCAGCATAAACAATGAGTAAAGCTGTTCTACCTCAGCTGATGCTGAACTAACCTGAGTATCAAACTCCAGCACTCCCGGAACCCCTTGTTCCCTTTCACATCACAACAGCGCTCCATGCACTGCCCAGATAACAGTCATGAATTTTTCTAGAAATTCTTTGAGGTCTTCACTGTAGAAAACTGCATATCCTATGCTATTTCTATGTATAACAGCTGCCCATATTGTGAGAATACACAGATTTTCATGTATTTATTGCATAAAATTGATGTTTCAAGCAGACATTTTAGAACATATGCACAGCAACACCCCAGGGGCACCGACGTTGAGGGAAAATTCTTGCTTTGCTCCAATCACAGAAAGATGACAGGCAACATGCAATTCAGTTATACATATGCTGCATATGTCACTTAGTGTTCAGATTATTATACTGCCAGGCCTTACATAAAGCAGGGTCATTAACACATCATTGGAACATAAGAATTCTGAATGGCAGCTATTAGCACAAGAATAATTACATCAATACAAGACTATCTGATCAGACTCGAGGAAAAAAAGACGTTCAAGAGTTGGGACTTTAAAATAAGAGAAGAAACAAAGGGCTAGATTCATTAGGGACTGGCTGTTCAGTATGTTACTCAGTGCATCTTTTACAGTTTTTTAAAACATTCAATACATATGTACACTGCACTATATGTACACTACAGAGATGTAGGAAATAACAGACTAGGTTGATAACTGAATGAATAGGTGAAGTCAGGGAGCAAGGAGGGATGTGGAGGAATCGGGAAATGGAAGTTCAGCACAAATATCCTGAAGGCACATGAAATCAGTGAGAGGTGAATACTATCATAGCCAAAAGGGATGAAAGAAAACCTGTATACAAGTTTGCTGTGCAACTTACTGTTTTGAGTTAAAGAAAAAACAAAACACCCACAAAAACACTGAACATGCCAACTCCCACCATTAAAAAAATCCCATCACCACTCTTTAATAAGAATTCAAGGACAAATTTGTTCTGCTTGACACTCTTCCTTCACAGGCAAGCCAGGCTCACTTCCTGTTCCTGCTCTTCCACTTACTACAAGTAGATTTTTTTTAATTATTTTTTTTTTATTTTATTATTTTTCCTGAAAGTGCATCTTTCGAAGTGCTATAAGAAGTTAGGCTTAGAAGCCTGAAGATATAAATCTAAACTTATTCCCTGGGTATGAATCCCTTGACTATGTTCCAGCTACATAGCACAAAGACTTTGAAAAGACCAGTGTCATCCAGCCAGCCCGAAAACATGTTTTTCTAGCCTGATTGCAGAACGCTTTAGAAAGTAATTGTAAAAACTGAGTTTCTGGTGCTGTGTTATTCACAGGGAAAACTATCTATTTTGAGGGTACTCAGCGACAGCTAAGCGTACCTGGGGATAACCTGTATGATGTATCACTGTGGCCTGCTCCTCACCTAAAAGGGGGACCTTCCCAAGAAATCTGAGAGGTTTCCATTGCTATTTCCATCCACATCTTCAGATTTCATAAGCCCAGCAAGACCTAAACTATCTTACCAAACAGTAAAGAAACAAAAGCAAATTCTGCATACTTGTCACCTCTGTTCAAGCTTACTGAAACGTTATCTGGTCCTTACAGCATCAAACAAAAGTAGATTTTTTTTTTTAAATACTTATTGCAGTTTTAATTATATAACTTCTTGCTTTGCAGAGATACAATTAAGAAATAGAGATATCGGAAAATAAATGCCACTTCACATTTTCTCCAAGTATCCTCCTCTCCAACTTTGAGTTTAGCAGCTCTAACTCTGCTTCTGAGGTTGCCAAGAAGAGCTGTGGTTCTCATCTGCACAAACCTTTTCTCACTAGAGGGGAAGTCTCACTATATATATATTTGGCTCCACAAAGAGATCTGGACAGGCTAGATCGATGGGCTGAGGCCAATCATATGAAGTTCAACAAGGCCAAGTGCTGGGTCCTGCACTTCGGTCCCGGCAACCCCATGCAGTGCTGCGGGCTTGGGGAAGAGTGGCTGGAAAACTGCCCGGCAGAGAAAGACCTAGGGGTGGTGGTTGACAGCCGGCTGAATATGAGCCAGCAGTGTGCCCAGGTGGCCAAGAAGGCCAACAGCATCCTGGCCTGCATCAGAAATAGTGTGACCAGCAGGAGCAGGGAGGTGGTTGTTCCCCTGTATTCGGCACTGGTGAGGCCGCATGACGAGTACTGTGTTCGGTTTTGGGCCCCTCACAACAAGAAAGACATTGAGGTGCTGGAGCGTGTCCAGAGAAGGGCAACCAAGTTGGTGAGGGGCCTGGAGCACAAGTCTTATGAGGAGCGGCTGAGGGAACTGGGGTTGTTTAGTCTGGAGAAAAGGAGGCTGAGGGGAGACCTTATGGCTCTCTACACCTACCTGAAGGGGGCTGTAGTGAGGTGGGTGCTGGTCTCTTCTGTCAGGTGGCTGGAGATAGGACGAGAGGAAATGGCCTCAAGTTGAGGCAAGGGAGATTTAGGTTAGATATTAGGAAAAATTTTTTACTGAGAGGGTTGTCAAGCATTGGAATGGGCTGCCCAAGGAAGTGGTTGAGTCACCATCCCTGGAGGTATTCAAAAAGCACGTAGACAAGGTACTCCAGAACATGGTTTAGTGGGCATGGATGATGGTTGGACTCTATGATCTTGAAGGTCTTTTCCAACCTAAATTATTCTATGATTCTATATATGACAACAGATACTAGACTCAACAGTATTCAACATTTTCATCAAGTCTCTAGAGTAAACATATGTATGTCACCAAGAATGCTGAAACTAAATACCGAGGAGAGGGTAGCTATGCTCTTGAGTAATTTAAAACAAAATAAAAAATTAGTTCAACCCAAGGTCAAGTTGGGTATTTTACTACCAGAGTACATCTGCCACCTGCAGGAAAGACCTGCAGAATGGAGACAAAATCCTAGAAGAAATAACTCAGAACTTGGTAATTACAGTAGGTGAGCATCTCAAGATGTGATGCCATGACAAAAAAAAGGGAGAAAAAGCACTTATACATTCCTTCGGACATATGGACACAATAGGTGTAAGGTGGTAATCTTACCTTTGCAAGGGACACTGGAATGCTTCATCCTGTTGCGGTATCCACATTTTTAAAAGAATGTTGAAAAATTGGACAGGGTACAGAGAAGAGCCACAGAAGTTATTTAAAAGGAGGAGAAAATTTCTCACAGTATGAATCAAAGAACCTAAACTGCTTTGAATATTAAAAAGATTGAGCTGTGTACATGAAGACTCCAGTGTTCACATAATAAAAAAATACTAGCGGTTTTAAAAGTTTAACATAGAAAAGCACAACAAAACTAATAGTATAACAAAATTAACAGCTGCAAAGTTAAGACAAAAGTCATATTCAAAATGAAGTAAATTTTAATTGTAAGGAAGCTAACCATCAGAACAACCAACCAAAGATGTGCTTAATATTCCACCTTTTCACTTTTTATAATCCAGATTATGTTTTTTCAGACACACATTTTGTACTTCCTTAGTACCATACTTAAAGACTAAGTGGATGACACATAATGCTCTATGATTTATGAAGTCAGATGTGCTTATTAATTAATCCTGCCAACCTCTAACTTTTTGAATCTGTCAGCTTGATCATCTTGCCAAAGGAGAATAGTATAAGCAAGATGGCTAGACCTATCCACAACATGACAGACATTATCATGTATCTCCATGCTACATATTGACTTGAAGGCTTCTTTTAAGTTTAAGATACTGCAGAATATGAAATACTGCTGAAATTAGACCGCTGGTGGCTTTGTCATGATTTTTCCAGAAAACCAAAGATGCAACTATGTTAGAAACTGTCATCATCACTGACATTTTGTTTTATTGTACTCTTTACAAAGAACATCAAATTTGTCCTTGCAAAGAATCCAATCAAGCCTCCATCTTGAGGCTCCAATTCATTTGTTTCTGCAATTCCATTTTCCCTCTTCAGGTCAAAATCTTTTAATGTAATTAATAATTGATTCACATTCATACAATAAGGCTGGTTTCTTAAAAAGCTAGAACTAACACAATCTTTCATATCTACAGATCAGATTGTTTGGAGCTTAAGGAGCAATGACACTTATCAATAACACTGTCATGCAGATATGTAACGGTAACACCACAGATACAAATATCAGTGGCGGTTTTTAATTCAAAATTTGGTACTTACTACTTAGAGCAAAAAGATAAGAAAAGAAAAAATACAATGGTTTTGGACGAAGCCAAAGCAGAAACAAAAGAGAACGAAAATGAACTACAGCAAGAATTCAAGAAGTAAAGGACACTCCCTAAAATAATGTAGCTTTTTTCCACGTAAGAGAAAATGAATAATTGTGACAATAAAAAGAATAAACTAATTGAAAAAAGATGAGCTGTTTCAAATCTGGCCATGATGTAGCTGAAGTTCTTGCTATTATATTTATAGACAAAGTAAAAACCACATCACACAGATAGAAGAATTTCTGCTGAAATTACAGCAACCTCATGAGACAGTATGCTGTGCCATAAAATACTGTACAAAGCTGCCATCCATAACAGAGAATAAAATCTATGAGCTGAATGAAATCCACTCTAGACTGCTGCTGCTCCCTTTCTCCTTTCCAAAATGATTTAAAATTAAAGACTGACTTCTGGTCACTTGCTAGTTATTTGCAAGTCATTCTGTTCAGTCACCA